ACTCTGCCCTATGTGAATAGAATTTCACTGTGGTTTTATCTAGAAAAGGTAAATTAATTTGTTTAAAGATGTTCTGCAGTATATGTGTGTTTTTCATTTTAGGTATACAAGGTTATATCCTTTGTAAATATACAAAAAAATTCTGATCAGATTATATGTTTTTTTTAGATTTATAAATTGGAGTACTACTTTTGGAAGGTGTTTTTTCTGCACATGTGTTACATTGTGCATGCAGTTGTTAGTTGATATATATTTGTTACACATTATGTTTGAACTCCCTGCACACTATTTTCTTTGTGTAGATTTAGCCAATGGGCTACTGCATAATGATGGTGTGTTGTTTATTTTATTTTTTTAAATGTTTTAGAAGGAAATAAAGGCTTTTAATTCACATTATCTATTTCCTAGCCATAAGAAGAGAAGATAAAGGGATTAGTTCATGTCAGAGTATCTATAACATTTACTTGGTTTTAAAAAGTTTTAAAAGGCTAGCTTTGTAATTTCTTTAAAACTGTGTTATTGCAAAAAGTGTCCACTGGGTGACCCTTCTAGGCAAATCTATCTTTACTTTACAGGAGGGTGGTAAGATGCAAGGTAACACCATACTTTAATAAATGCCTAAAGCAATGATGAAAAGTACCACTTGATAGTGTATCATTGTACAAAATTCCAGCTATTCAAATGTCCAATATTGTGTTTAAAAATAAAAAAGCTAACAGGCTTGACATAAAAATGCAGACATGCTATATGGCTTAGTCTCTGCCAAAAGCATCTCGCTAAGTGGTATTCAAAGTGAAATGACTTTTGCTGTCTAAAAGAAAGCAAAGTCAAGTACTGAACAGACACAGCCAGAATCACTATTGATTTGCTTATAGAGCGCAGACTAACAATATCCACCAAGTAGAAAAATTAACAACAGAGCAAAGAATATGATTTGTTTTAAATGTGGTCCAGAATTAGATCTTGTTTGAAGCAATGCAGACCGTAGAGAGAAAATTAATCTATATAAAAACCTGCAAACAAGTTGTGTAGGAGCTGGTTATGTGCACTGTAAATTTAATAAGGGAAGGTTCTATAATATAATTGCAATTCTCAATATATTTTTTTTTTTTAAAAAGGGTTTTGCTTCCTCAAAATGAACTTTCAGTATTTGACAATGATGATGCAATTGCATTTTAAATGTTAGTGAATTACTTTTTTTGTCTGTTTATTTGCGTTTCTCATAATTATCAAGAGGACTACTCACTCATGTGGGCTGGATCTCCTGCGCAATCAAGAGGTACAAAAAAAAGATGATAGGTTGTTAGGGACAGCCACTAAATTTTGTGTTTATTCACAAATCAAGTGAAGTGACCAATGGAAGAGGGAAAAAAAGGAGCAATAAAACTATTCCTCCAAGCAGGATTCATGACACTTTAAATCCAGCTATTGAAGTAGACAGACCAGCAGTGATCCTGTGTGTTTACCTTTGCTGAAACTGTGTTACAATGGGAGTTAGTTTGGGTCATTAATTCTGGTGTGAGACTAGGTTAACATTTATGCTGTAGGTAGCAGATAGTAATTTATGTAACACTAGTAAACATTTTGAGTGGGAGATAGGTGATTTACACTTGGCAGGCATTTTGTCATTAATTATTTGTAATGTTAATTTAATTATAAACAGTTGCAAAAATGTTATTTTAATTTCTATTATTATTTTGCTAACTGCTTGGAGGAAATAAAGGAAATACTACCTTTCTTTGGGCGTCTGTAGTATCAGAATTTTTTTTTTATTTTGTCTAGCCTGGATCAATGATTCTAGTGTGGGACTAGCTTTAGCTTTAAGCTTTATATAATAGCTAGTATTGTAGGGGCACTAGAAAACTCTTTCAGTGGGAGATGGGGGAATTTAGTCATTGGTTCTAACTTATCCATTCCTTTGGCTTCCAGTATCATTTCTATGCGGATAACACGCAAATTTATATGTCTCTGATTGCTTCTCTGCTATTTCCAACTGAATGGCTGCTCATTTCCTTAAACTTAACCTGTGAAAAACAGAACTTGTGGTCTATCCTCCCTCACGTGTTGCTACTCCCTTATCTGTTTCCCTCCAAGTCAATGGCGCTACCATCTTCTCTACCTCACAGACTCACTGCCTACCCTGTTTACCCAAATACAAGACATCCCCCGGAAATAAGCCCTAGCTTATTTTCAAGGGATGCTTGTAATATAAGCCATACCCCAAAAATAAGCCCTAGTCGCTAGTTCGTAATCTATATTCAGTGAATTTTCCTGCTAAGCTATATTCAGGGAATTTTCCCTGAACATAGATTAGTGGGATTCCATTCGTGATTAAGCTAATCTATGTTTGGGGAAATTTCCCCGAACATAGATTTGTGAGATTATATATGCAAGTAAGCTAATCTATGTTTGGAAAAGATTCCCCCAAACATAGACCTGCTTTCTAGCACTTGCTTGCTATCATTTTTCTCTGAAATAATACACCCCCCGAAAATAAGCCCTAGTGCGTTTTTTTTCGGGGGGAAAAATTAATGTAAGACCCGGTCTTATTTTCAGGGAAAGACAGTAAGTGTTCTTCTCTTTGACTCTGACCTCTCCTTCACCCCTCATTCATGCCCAATCATTTGCCAAACTCTGCCTCTTCCATCTCAAAAACATAGCGCGCATCTGCCCCTATTTAATGCCTGATATGGCAAAGGTGCTAGTCCATGCCCCTGTCCACTCTCGAAAAATAATAAATTCTCAATACACTCCACTGACAGGGAGCACAAAGTGAAGGGGCACAGGAAGAAGAAATTAGCTTAGAAAGAACCCTAACTTTTTTTTAAAAAAAGACCAAGAAATAGCACAGTATAGTGTAGAACTAATTGAATCTAAGGGATAGAGGAGAAAGGTAGAGTAAGACAAATAATTATAATGCTGTGTAAAATACCACCTTATGATTTCCACATCTGGGCAGGTAGGTTTCTCTATGGGATAAACCAAAAAAGACCCCCCTAATAGAGATAGGCACAGGATATCATTGGGTAAATCCACAAGTAACATATAATGCTCTAATAAGGTTCCACCATCTGTGAAGAAGGGAGATTCCAACTCCTAAACAATAAAAAAAAAACATTAGAGAGTAAAGTAACAAAAAAGGGGAGAACAAAGCCCTAAATATACCACAAGAGGGCTGAGGGTACGTAAACATTCTAGATTGTGTGTCCCACTCCATCACATAGAGTCACTAAATTATATAAATAGCCAGACATATGGAGATCCGGGGAGATCAATCAAAACGCAAAAAAGTTGCTATCCCTGTTTACTTCGGCACTGCATAAAGCTAGTGCCTACCTGCACCAAAAATCCCTAAAGACAGCAAATTATATGAATTTAAATAAAAGTGCACACGGTGCTACCTAAGTGATAAACCCCAAAAAAAACCTGACAAGAAAAAACGCCAATTGCACGTTTTGGCATGTTGAAACGCCGTTGTAAGGGGCAAAGTGACAGAGTTACCATTCTTGCCCTCATTAAAAAGCCTACAATATGATTAGCCACCTGTGTGGGACCCAATCCACCATGCAGGTAAATATCTCCGTCAGCTGATTAGTCAGCGAGGCGGAGTCATAAAAGACAATGGGGGATTGCTTAAAAGAAGGACCTAACCATTTTCATATGTAATATAAAGACTTCCTGTGATTGGTCCATCGAAGGAACGAGAGGGCAGGCTCAGACAGACAAGACCATGCTTTCAGTCCCATGTATCTACGAGAGCAAGCTCCACACTCCAGATGTCCCCAGCATAGAAAACGGGGCATATCGAAGTTTGAGTCACCATTAGTATGTGTGTGTAATATTATTCGTTGGTCACCACAAATGGGAGGGGGATGGAGGTGAGGGGGCCAAATTACAAGGTCCTTGAATACAATAAGTAGTTCCAGATAAAATGGACTTGTCTACTTCATATTGTACTGTACAAGTAACATATAAATATATGTGCAGAAAATTACACAAGAGTACAGATGTATGATTATATAGTCCACTGCACCCAACATCAATGTCTGTGTGAAATATGCTGACATACGTGCTATCATATGCATTCAGAGTTTGTCAATAAAGGCAGTGTTACATAGTTACATAGCTGAAAAGAAACTTGTGTCCATCAAGTTCAGCCTTACATATGTTTTTGCTGTTGATCTAAAAGAAGGCAAAATACCCAGTCTGAAGCTCTTCCAATTTTGCAACAAACTAGGAAAACAATTCCATCTTGACCCCAAAATGGCAGTCAGATATCTCCTTGGATCAACAAAACAGTGTCTTTCACAATATCACACAATACAAGTGCTTGAATAAAGAAAAGTGCATATGTATGTTTTTTTTTACTATTCCTCCTTACATAATAATAAAGTGCTTGAGTGAGCTAAAGGGCATATATTTAAACATCTAGCAATGGAGTTACCTGAAGATCTCCCCAAATCTTTAATTGGTACAAAGGCAATACAGGGAGTGCAGAATTATTAGGCAAATGAGTATTTTGACCACATCATCCTCTTTATGCATGTTGTCTTACTCCAAGCTGTATAGGCTCGAAAGCCTACTACCAATTAAGCATATTAGGTGATGTGCATCTCTGTAATGAGAAGGGGTGTGGTCTAATGCCATCAACACCCTATATCAGGTGTGCATAATTATTAGGCAACTTCCTTTCCTTTGGCAAAATGGGTCAAAAGAAGGACTTGACAGGCTCAGAAAAGTCAAAAATAGTGAGATATCTTGCAGAGGGATGCAGCTGTTGTAGAATTATTAGGCCTCTATAAATCTGTAAGGCCCCTTTAAATCCTCTTGCTATACCTCTAAGAGGCCCCCATAGTTTTACAAGAAAGCTTTGTCTATAGAACATAGAATTTGCATGTCAGCAAGAAATAGCTTTGATAAAATGTGTATTTACTAAAAGACTTGAAACCTAACCTTGAGAAACTAACAAGTGCCAGCTACGCTCTAAATGGATAGCTGCCAAAAGGCCCCTCCCGTCGAGTGAGCTCCTCATGTTAGCAAAATGGCGCTAAAACCTGGAGGAGAAAAAGCATGACGAAGATAGTGACTTAAGATGGTACACCCCATAGGGAGGGCATTTTACTAACATCTTAGCACCTAAGCCAATTAACAATGTCTATATCTTGATTTTCTTCAATGATGTAATAATGCCTTTAAAAGGGTCTGCGCACCCATTTTCTGTCAGAAGCCATTAAACTTCTCCGAAGTTCTTTCATTACCCTGAACTTTGTGTCTCAGTGTGAATTTACTTCTGCGTGCACGCAACTTTATTATCTTTAATTTGGACAGGAACAGATAGTCATTCAAACTAATTGGTTTGCAGTAAATTATCTACTACACAGCACTCTTAAAATTGCAAAGCTTCTGAAGCGTGATCATCGAACAATCAAGCGTTTCATTCAAAATAGTCAACAGGGTCGCAAGAAGCGTGTGGAAAAACCAAGGCGCAAAATAACTGCCCATGAACTGAGAAAAGTCAAGCGTGCAGCTGCCACGATGCCACTTGCCACCAGTTTGGCCATATTTCAGAGCTGCAACATCACTGGAGTGCCCAAAAGCACAAGGTGTGCAATACTCAGAGACATGGCCAAGGTAAGAAAGGCTGAAAGACGACCACCACTGAACAAGACACACAAGCTGAAACGTCAAGACTGGGCCAAGAAATATCTCAAGACTGATTTTTCTAAGGTTTTATGGACTGATGAAATGAGAGTGAGTCTTGATGGGCCAGATGGATGGGCCCGTGGCTGGATTGGTAAAGGGCAGAGAGCTCCAGTCCGACTCAGACGCCAGCAAGGTGGAGGTGGAGTACTGGTTTGGGCTGGTATCATCAAAGATGAGCTTGTGGGGCCTTTTCGGGTTGAGGATGGAGTCAAGCTCAACTCCCAGTCCTACTGCCAGTTCCTGGAAGACACCTTCTTCAAGCAGTGGTACAGGAAGAAGTCTGCATCCTTCAAGAAAAAACATGATTTTCATGCAGGACAATGCTCCATCACACGCGTCCAAGTACTCCACAGCGTGGCTGGCAAGAAAGGGTATAAAAGAAGAAAATCTAATGACATGGCCTCCTTGTTCACCTGATCTGAACCCCATTGAGAACCTGTGGTCCATCATCAAATGTGAGATTTACAAGGAGGGAAAACAGTACACCTCTCTGAACAGTGTCTGGGAGGCTGTGGTTGCTGCTGCACGCAATGTTGATGGTGAACAGATCAAAACACTGACAGAATCCATGGATGGCAGGCTTTTGAGTGTCCTTGCAAAGAAAGGTGGCTATATTGGTCACTGATTTGTTTTTGTTTTGTTTTTGAATGTCAGAAATGTATATTTGTGAATGTTGAGATGTTATATTGGTTTCACTGGTAATAATAAATAATTGAAATGGGTATATATTTGTTTTTTGTTAAGTTGCCTAATAATTATGCACAGTAATAGTCACCTGCACACACAGATATCCCCCTAACATAGCTAAAACTAAAAACAAACTAAAAACTACTTCCAAAAATATTCAGCTTTGATATTAATGAGTTTTTTGGGTTCATTGAGAACATGGTTGTTGTTCAATAATAAAATTAATCCTCAAAAATACAACTTGCCTAATAATTCTGCCCTCCCTGTATATAAGGTTTGTCCAGCTAGGGGAAACAAGAACAGTACAACATAGTGTAACACTGTGTAACCAAATATTGGTGTATATTAAGTGCTAATTGGCCACTCACACTTTAGAGCCAAATAAAGAGCCTTCAGAAATTATTTAATGTAAATCTCCTCAATTCTTGGGTTTTATTGATGTCAGTTTTGTTCATGAAAAAAGGTAAAGTGCAGCCAAATAAGATAACCGTGTAAATAAAGTGCACAATGCATTTACTTATACAGAAGTAAACAATAGCAGATGAAACTGGTATCAAGAGATTCACAGGGTAAGTCCAAGTCCTACGCGTTTCATCCCTTTTAGGGACTTCCTCAGGGACAGTTTCTCAGTTGAAGACAGAATACCAAATACAAAGTGCATAAGAATCACCCTTTCATGTAGAACGAAATAATATATATATATATATATATATATACATAAGTATATACTTATATATCACTAAATATACCTATATATAAATCAAAATAATTTCAAAAAAATATATACATATATATATATATATATACACGTGTGTGTGTATATATATATATATATATATATTTCTACGTATATATTTATATATTTATGTAATAATTTTACATAATTAGGTCATTTTATTAATTACAATTTGCAGGACCTGCCTGACAACCCAGGCCGAAAGTTCAGGGAATTTAATTTGCTAGCACTATATTTAACACTGTAACTTTCCAAGACACCATAAAACCTATAAATGGGGGGTACTGTTTTACTCGGAAGACTTCACTGAACATAAATATTAGTGTTTCAAAACAGTAAAATGTATTACAACGACGATATCATCAGTGAAAGTGACAATTTCTGCATTTTTTACACACAAATGGCACTTACACTGACTATATAATTGTTGTGATACGTTTTACTGTTTTGAAACACTAATATTTGTGTTCAGCGACGTCTCCTGAGTATAACAGTACCCCTCATGTACAGGTTTTATGGTGTTTTCAAAAGTTACAGAGTCAAATATTTCACATTGAAATTCGCCAGGTTAGTTATGTTGCCTTTGAGACCGTACGGTAGCCCAGGAATGAAAATTACCCTGATGATGGCATACCATTTGCAAAAGTAGACAACCCAAGGTATTGCAAATCGGGTATGTTCAGTCTTTTTTAGTAGCCACTTAGTCACAAACGCTGGCCAAAATTGGCATTCAAATTAGTTTTTTGCATTTTCAAATATTAACACTAACTTTGGACAGTGTTTGTGACAAAGTGGCTACTAAAAAAGACTGGACATACCCCATACTTTTGCAAATGGTATGCCATCATGGGGGTAATTCTTATTCCTGGGCTACCATACGGTCTCAAAGGCAACGTAACCAAAATGGCAAATTTCAATGTGAAAAAAACTGAAAAATGTAACACGCTATATTTGACTCTGTAACTTGCCAAAACACCATAAAACCTGTACATAGGGGGTACTGTTTTACACGTGAGACATCGCTGAATACAAATATGTGTATTTTATTGCAGTAAAAGCAAACAGTATTATGACATTCACAGTTAGAATGTCACGTAGAACAAAAAAATATTTTTCAATTCTTATTTTTCCCCATTATTTTATATCGTATTCATATTAAATTATGTTTCATACCTAAATAGTTAATGTTAAATGAAAGCCCTGTTTCCCCTGAATAAAATTATATATAATAAGTGTGGGTGCAAATAATATGAAAGAGGCGAATTACGCCTGAACAGCCATATAGCGCAAATTCCAGTTTTTGTTTACGTTTTGTTTTGATCACAACGTGTACATTTGGCTCAGTCCTTAAGAGGTTAAGAGCTTACAAAAAGTTTGAAGAAAGTATAAACAAATTTTAAAAAATGAAAAAAGTTAAAACAGTTTTATAAAGTAACAAAATACATTAAAAAAATGCTCTTAAAAAAATGCTCATTACCACTACACCTGGAGCAAACTAGTGAAAAATGATTCAAAACTAAGGTTCAAAATATGCCTTTTGAAATACCCCAGGGTGTATTCTTAAAAAAATGGTATGCGTTTGACGGGTAGTTTGAATAACCAACTAGCAAAAATACTCCAAAATGGAACATGGACACAGCGTAAAAATTCAAAGTTTGAAAAAACTGAATTGCTGTGTCTCAAAACTTCCCCTTCAAAATCCACATATACCTGGCAAAGGTACATACGGGGGAATTGCTGTACTCAGATGACATAGCTGAGCAATCTATGAAGTATTATACTGCTGTAGCACACATAAGGTTTGCAGAATATACAGTGCAAACTGTTATTTTTTGTTTATCACTTAGGTAGCACTATGTGCACTTTTATTTAAGTTCATATCATTTGCTGTCTTTCTTATCTTATTTTGCTGGGATTTTTGGTGCAGGTAGGCACTAGCTTTGTGCAGTGCCAAGGTAAACAGGGATAGCCACTATTTTGCTCTTTGATCTCCCGAATCTCCATATGTCTGGCTATTTATATAACTTAGTGATTTTATGTGGTGGATTTGGGGACACAGTCTAGAATGTTTACGTTTTGTATGTACCCATAGCCTTCCTTTGGTATATTTAGGGATTTGTTCTCCCCTTTTTTTACTTTACTTTCTAATGGGTTGTTTTTTGCTTGTGAGTTGGAATCTCCCTTCTTCACAGATGGTGGAACTTTATTAGAGCATTGTATTTTACTTGTGCATTTACACATTGAGACCCTGTGCCTATCTTTATTAGGTTTACCCCACAGAGACACCTACCTGCTTAGGGGTGGATATTATAAGGTTGTTTTTTACACAGCAGTGTAATTATTGTATTCCACATGCCATTCTGGTCCATGTCTATTACTCTGGGGGCTGTACCTTGACTTTGGATGTGCTTCACCTGACCCTGATCAGACATTAGCAGGGTATTTAAACTCAGCCTCGCCCTGTGATCAGCATCAAGTCTTTGATCCTGTTGTGTGCTTTGTACCAGTGTTCCTGTCGTTTGAGCTGCTACTTGTTATTGACCCCGGCTTCTGACTACGTTTACTCTGACCTCTGGCATCCCTTGACTTCGGCTTCTCCTCGTTGTTCCTGTCTTCTGGCATCCTTTGACCTTGGCTATCCTTTGACGATCCTGCTGTTTGAGTCCTTGCCTGTCCTGCGACTTGGTACTTCATCCTGCACAGCCCCCGTGCACAGACCCACAGGCCGGGTGAATTCTTACCTGACCACCTTGGCCTGTGGCTATCTGCAAAGGCGAGCAACATATCTGTGCTACAGACTCCCAACCCAGGTAAGACCCTGACACCTTCCTCCTCAATCCCTTAGAAACAATTCGTTCTATACTTCTAATACTGAGCTATTTTGGTCTTTCTCCTTTTTAAATATTAGATCTTAATAAAAGTTAGGATTCTTTCTAAGCTAATTTCTTCTTACCGTGCTCTTGCCCTTTGCACTGTCAGTGGAGTGTATTGGGATTTTTTTTTTCTATTATAGTTTTTAAGGGTTACCCCGTTTTAGGGAGTACAGTTTAGGTACAAACACAAAGATAAAGCACCGCGCTTACAGCGCAGTAGCTTAGTATCCAACAGCTCAAAATACTTGGAAAAAACAAAGAGAATGCTACCTGCACTCTGGCCTAAATCCCTATGTACATTTAAACAAATTGGAGACTTTTTAGTTTTATTCTAATGGTCATTTGAATATATATGCTCACCTGCCACGTCAAGG